AAGAGATATCGGTTGGACTTTTTGGATTGGTGTTGACGAATTTTGGTGTTGCATGATTTTTTGCCCTGTCCCGGAGTTCGTACGAGTAAACTCCGGAGTAGTGAACACATTCAGCCCCAAAAAAACGACTCTTGAAACAGATTGACGGTCACGAGATGATCAAGACAAATCAGGGCGATTTGTCTCAAATAAAGGGAAAAGAGAGGATTTAATAGTTAGTTACCCTAGTAGATCGGAGTCTGTTGATGTCCATCAACGACGTTCGTGGCATGTGAACAAACAGTTAGACTTTTGTCCGAACGCCCGACCGACCGAAAAGGTCTCGTACTTCGGCAAGCACGGATGCTACCCTTCTTTGACCACGAACGAGTGAACAAGAGGAGAGGGGGTAAAAGCTACTTTAAGGTTTGACGCCTTCATCGGTAGTGTTGGTACGTACAAGGGAAAACATAGACAAATACCCCATCCGAGCTTTTTATAGCTTCTTTTACCCATCATCATAAGTCGGGGACCCCTATTGTATGTCCCGGAAGGTCTAGACTTCGAGGCTTTGAGAGGGACGTTAGTGGCATACGCCGTTAATACCGTTGGTGAAGATCCTCGTTTTCCATCAACGCTGCTGCATCAAGGTACGTAGGGAGGCGGATTCGTTCCGTCGGGGTACGCTACCATTTGATGAGCAACAGAGCTACACTACTAGTGTAGCAAGGATGATAGATGAGAAGAAAGATGATGTCACGGAGAAAGCCGTTTACTATTGCGTACACACAGGGCAAAAACAAGAAAAGTGAGGCTTCGAAACGATATAAGGAAATGCCAAGGGGTATGGTATGATGATGGTGATTGCCAACAGGGAAGAAGGTGGAAGAGAGAAAAGCGGAATGAATATTCTCGCAAAACACGTGTTGAAATACCGATCTTCATGCAAGGGTTTCTTAGATAATGCCCACAGATCCAAAGAAGGTATTCCATATCCCCGGTTTACTGAAGAAGGAAGTTTGGAGCGCCGATCAGTCAACTTCTATATCCACCTGCCACCGATGTAAGTCCACCGTTACCAGTTTGATGGGACGGACTACTCATGGAGTCATAGCATCTGGGAAGAGGGGAAAGACGACGAACTGTTGGTCTTTGCTCTTCCAACTGGGCTTCTGTTATGAATCCTCGGTGATTTAGGCAAGGCGAGGGTTTGACATGGAGCAAGGGGTGAAGGTTAAGAACAATAAGCAGAGCGGGAGACACGGAGAGGCCCCGAATGGTTGAAAGATGTAGTCGGGGCTTCCTCCGCAGATCCCCGGGAGCCCTGATGAGTTTGGGAGGTGGACACGAGGGGAAGGGTTCACGACCCGGTTTGGTGAAGCACTAGTCACGATTGAGGTGGTGTGTTGGGTAGATGTGTGACTTTCAAGAAATCAAGTAAGCACGTAATGTCGTTCGGGCTCCATTCGGCCTTCAGAACGCGGAACGTAATCACGTAATGTCGGTAGGGCTCGCGCGGGGTCTTCGCCGGTCAGTACCCACCAGGGTCGCGGTCCCGGAGGGGAGGTGGGATGATGGACACCAGAAGACTGTGAGCGAAGTGAGAGTGTGTGAATGAGAGTGGGAGAGGTGAGTGGGAGATGTGAGTGGAAGATGTGAGTGGGAGATGTGAGTGGGAGATGTGAGTGGGAGATGTGATTTGGACATGTATCCCATATGAGTTGTCTCGACTTACTTTGCTTTTCCTCGCCAACCGAAAACGAGCACCCTTTTCTCTTTCTGCCTAGAGGTCTTGTTCTGCCCAAAAGGGATGGTGATTCAATATGACATGTCCGATCTGTGATGCCAAGTCGATAGAAAACCTTTTGATGATTCCATTCTTCAGGAAGGCGCACCCGAGAAAGACGATTTGCGTACAGGGCATGGCACGGATGAGGTCCGTTAGGGTACCAGCACGTCGGTTCTGATTTCGTTGGGTCGCCTAGCAAGCTTCTTATCGGTCCATTCCACTTTTTTTTGCCTTGATTAAGATAATGTCCGGGCACAGCCAGTCGGGCAAAGGGCTGATGTGTGCGTGTCGAAAACGGTATGGTGTTTGCAAAAACTCAAATTAGGGAGGAGTCAGGTCTGGGTCTCTGCTGGAGCCGCGCGCTTGGGGTCGTGGACTGTGATGGGCTGGTATGGGTTAAGATGGGTCTTGACAAAGACACCATGACAAAACGAGGGTATGCCAAGCGAAGTTTCTTGACGGACTCAAGAGATGGAATCCGTAGCCGGTGGTGTACAGTGCACACTACCTACATAGGCCCGAGTTATGTCAAACAGCCGAATCCGAAACGAGAGGACTCGACGATGGACAACATGGGCATAACTCGGTGTTTTGGGGGACTTTTTGTCCGTGTTTGGATTAGCGCAACAAGCGAGACGAAGCGAGGGAGAACATGAGGTTGTGATGTGAAGTCGAAGAAATGGTTGTGGTGTCTTGGTGGTCGTCATGTTGTGCATTGTTTGCATATGCTGTACACGTGCTGATGTGTGTGCATGATGCGGTGGAGGAGGCACAGCAACACTCGCATGCTGCACACGTGCGAACATCGTGGTTTTTGTGGACATTTGTAGTACGCGGTGATATGCACGGCACTGCAGTTGCATTCGGTCGGGGTGGATTGCTTGACTGGAATCACCACCAATTGTGGCCCATCCACCCAATAGCTTCACCACCCTTCGCTACATACCTACATGTGTAAACACGGCACGGTAGTTTGGCCAGATTGATTGATTGTGCAAGCGGACAGGGTGAGCGGGTATGAAAGCTCAACTGTTGGATAAATTGCTAACGGCCGCCGCCAGTTTGCCCTGATAGTTGCTGTGACAGCAATTGTTTGCTGTTTTTAGACTCCGAGATAGACTGTATGCTCTGCGAATGCAAGTTCACGGCGAACGTGATGGCGATCGTTTTTTCGTTCCATGCTGGAGCGAGTGCATGCTTTCGCGGAACTGTGTTCTCTGGCATTACCAAAGTGCCGGGTCTCTCTTTTGATGAAAGCTGAACAGCACCGAGTCGGAAAAGGGCCGGCCCAGGTTCGGATCTTTCTCCGGAGCATTTTGTGTTTCCAGAAGGTGACAAGGTGTCACAACGGTCCGGTGGTGTGCGAGGAGGCCTGCTGAGGTTACATGTACCTGCATAAGAGCTTCGGTTCCTGTCTATCAGCCGGGATACCGCTGAAGAGCCTTACCTGTTCCTGACCGTGGCGCCCACTCAGGACCCCTGTTTCTGGAGTTTACTGGAGTTTCACTGGAGTTGCGCTGGAGTTCATTGCCCTTATCCGGCCAACTGGAAGTGTTCCCGGACACAGGTGGCTTGCAGGGGGTCTCATTTTGTCCGGATCGCTGGAACCAGACGGGGACCGCAACAGAGACACAGAGAGACCTCGCTCATTGTTCTCCCACTCGACCGTTTGCTGAGTTCCAGACAGTACATGGCAGTGCTGAGGCTGCTCTCATGGCCGCCTCGGTCCAGTATTTGCCAACCCAGGTTGTGCGTCATGGCCAGTGCAGTGGCAGTAGAGATATACTCCGTCAAATAGTGTCGGCAGAGGAACCGTGTCGGGAAAGGATCTCGATGTTCCGTGCACCGCGGGGGAGAGAGGATCCTTTCGGTTCCGGGCTTGGGGCTTCCTTGGGGAGCAGAGAGCTTGGATGGAGCTCGGCGCTCCGCTGGCCTCCGCCGGCCTCCGCTGCGTCAATTTCCCAGCGCAGCACGACACTGGAGGACACTGCCCTTCTGGCCCAGGATCCGCTGGCGACAACCAGAGCGACTGGTTCAGCGCCCGATCGGGCTTATTTTAGTCGTTGCTTGGTCGCTCCAGACCCTCTGTGACCCTCCTCGACCCTCCTCGGACGGGCCTCAACGGTTGGTGATCAGCCCATGTCGGGAACTCTCGAGTGGTCGTTGGTACGAGCTTGAAAAGTGTAGCGCTCGGCAAGTGTTGTCGAGTTCGAGATGTAATCCACCAGCACCCTGGGCAGAGACGGGGCAGAGACGGGGCAGAGAGTAAAAAGTTTTCCAGGCGGCCAGTCGGGTCCGATGAAGGTCCCATCGATACTGCAACCATGATTGCGCTTCATTGCGGCGCCGTCGCTGCTTCTGGACACCGGCCGATCAAATAGAAGGATTGTCCGTTCTGCAGGCGATAAGGGGCCCGTCACACTCCCAGCCCCAGGTCCCTTTCGTCACTCGGTTGTGGAAACCGGTCGTCGGAATCCAGAAAGTGTCGAGGTATGTCATAATCATATTCAGCGAAACCGAAGCTCGAACCGAAGGGTGTCTTGAGTGTTCCAGCCAGGTTCACGGCCCAACTCAAAAACTCTGACCGGGCCTCCCGTTGCTTTCCCGTAGCCACCTGCAGTGGGCCAGCACGGGCCACCAATCCCACTGCATGTCCACTCGATCCCACCCAGCAGGCATGCATTTCCCACCACAGAAGACAGCTGCAGCAAAATGCAGGGACTGTGTCCAGGGACCCGCCTGCTGTGCGTGACTGTTTTGTGACTGCCCGTGCTCTCAGCACTGGACAGACTGCCAGATTCGTGGACTGTGGGCGGTCCAAGCTCCCGTCCTTCAGGCAAGCTCCTGCTTGCGTTCGTACCCCGGTGCCAGCGCCCATCTCGCTCGCGCCCACACCTCAAGGTTCTGCGCCCACTCACTGCACTGGGCAGCAGGCCAGGTCCCCCCCCCCCTTTTGCAGGCCGTCGGTCCCCATACAATCCCCATCCATCATCCCATCCCATGTCTGTTTCTGTGGAGGTCCATGTGACCGTCTCATTGCATTTAGTTTCTTTCATTCCTCCTTCCCGTCCCTCGTCTTTTTGGGTTTTCCTACCAGGGCTCTTGTGAGTTTTTGAAACAAAAGGTCCCGGTGTCCGTCTTCTGAATTTCAAATCCACGAGTCGAGGTTCATTCGTTCTTCCTCTTCTTCTAACCAGTCACTCGTTCAACTGATTCGTCAACTAAAACAAACCACACTTCGGACCCGAACCCGAACCCGACCCTCGTTCGCATCCATCTTTATCAGCAAGGCCGGCCGGCATATCATAGACGGAAGTCATATCATACTATCACTCACCTAGGTAATACATGTCCTCCTTGCTTACCTTCCTATTATTACTGCCCGACCACCTACCACTGCAACTCTGCAGCGCTGCAACAATACCCCACGGGCGATACCAGACCAACGGCGAGAATCCATTACTACAACTTGGTTTATTTGCTCCAATCCCAACCAATCTGTCTTGTCGATCTGGTGCAACCCATCCTACGCATCCTCCCGCGATCCTCCTCCTCCACCTTTATCACCTCTAGGTGCATGGCTCTTGTCATACGCCTCGATAACCAGCCATAGATAGTGTCTAACAGCCAATCAACAGCCCTGTACCCCGCCAATTGCGCACTCCCATTCCGAGCTACGCCCTCAGAGTGCAACCAGAGTGCAACATCGACGTCGAGACAGCCATAGGACGTGGCCGACTACCGATTGCGCCCACCAGGAACCAACCGCATCACTTAGAGATGGGTCTCTTTTCGCGGAGGGATAAGGCGCCGAAGACGGAGGCGCCTACCTTGAGTGCCTCGCAGTCAAAATCCTCCCTCACCTCGGGTTCGTCCAGCATCAAGTCTCCCGGTTTTTCCACTTCTCGCATCCTAAACCGAGCATCAGCCGCCACCATGAGCAGCAATCCAGGAACACCGCCCTTCTCTCCCGGCCTCAACCCCGGCGTCCCCCGGATCGACATCCCCAGGCCCCCCGACCCGCAGCTCGACCCTGTCGGATACCTCAGGAGCTTGGGCGCCGTCCGCGAGCGCTGCAAGATCGTCACCGAGAAGGCCCTGCGCAATGAGCTCAACCACTTTGATGTCGACATGAACAAGTTTGAAGATGTAGTCACTTTTGTTGCCAATATCATCAAGGTCAGTCGATTTGCTTCCTTGCTGTTCTGAAGACCTGACTTTGGCGGTGCGGGGTACCCTGCGGTGTAGTGTGGGTGTCAGTGCGACCCCGAGGAGTTGAGATGACAACGGGTCATCCCGCAACAGCGCACCGACATGAGCGCCAGTGTGGGACAGGTACACCGCGCATGATGGATAACTAACACTCCGCGATACAGAGAGACTATGACGCCCCATTCACATCCATTCCCGGCCACGGCCGTCACCAGCACTTCGCCATCGGCGGGCGCGACCGCATCGCTCACCTCCTGTCCACATTCCCTGAGGATGTCGACAACACGGAAAAGTGCAAGCGCATGATCGATCTCTTCCTTGTCAGTGTATTGCTGGACGCCGGTGCCGGCACCCAGTGGAGCTATAAGAGCAACGAGAATGGCCGTATCTACAGGCGATCCGAAGGCATTGCCGTTGCTAGTTTGGAGATGTTTAAGACCGTAAGTTGAAGTCCAGGTTTTGGTAGACTTCCGGAAGCGTGTTGGACTGACAAAAACATCAGGGTCTGTTTTCTGGTAACAAGAACAACAAGTACCAGGTCGACAAGGAGGGCTTGGCCAGCCTAACCGTCGAGAAGCTCGCCCAGGGATTGCAGTCTGGACCGGGCAACGAGATGGCTGGCATTGAAGGCCGCGCCCAACTCCTTATTCGGTTGGGCCAGGCTTTGGAGGAGAAGACCGAGTTCTTCGGTGCGGATGGACGGCCTGGAAACATGCTCGACCACATCCTCGACCACCCCTCGACACAGGCGACGAACGGCTTGATTGTTCCCCTTCCCGTCTTGTGGAACGTCCTCATGAGCGGCCTTGCTCCTGTCTGGCCACCATCGAGGACTGCCATCAATGGCGTTTCTTTGGGCGACGCTTGGCCCTGCAGCTCCATGCCTCAGCCGGTGCAGTCGCCATCTAGCCCGACATTTTCTCCTTTCCCCAACACCTCTGGCCAGTCCAACGGTGTTGCGCCCTGGGAAAGCATTCTCCCTTTCCACAAGCTTACCCAGTGGCTTACCTACTCGCTTATGCAGCCCATGCAGAGCATTATGAAGATCCAGTTTGCTGGCCAGGAGCTTCTTACTGGTCTTCCCGAGTATCGCAACGGCGGTCTGTTTATTGACCTCGGCGTCCTGACATTGAAGCAGGAGGATATGGCGCGCGGCTTGGCGCATTACACCTCGTACTGCGACCGCACCGGCACCAAGGAGAACGAAGTGGCACCTATGTTTGAGCCCAGTGACGATGTCATTGTGGAGTGGAGAGGCGTCACTGTTGGCTTCCTCGACAAGCTTTGCGTTGAGGTCAACAAGGCCTTGGAGAGGGAGCTGCAGGGCAACGAGCTTACCCTTGCTCAAATGCTAGAGGCTGGTAGCTGGAAGGTGAGTTTCGGTCCCTTATTTTTGTCTAATTTGCGAATTCCCATGCTAACTACTATCGTTTCACAGGGTGGCCGTGAAATTGCCGAAGTCAGCCGACCAAACACCAAGGAACCGCCTATCCTTATTGATAGTGACGGCACCGTATTCTAGGAGAAACGGGATTCCGTTTTGATATGGAATGGTTTACTTTTTTGAATGGAGCGTCATCGCACAGAAGGAAGAAGAAAAGAAACGAAATCAGGTTCAGGAATATTCTGGACTTCATACTGATTAGCCTGACCACCAAAAGAGTCTTGGGGGCCAGTATGTATATGGCCAAATTGCTATGTCGGACATGGTACGAGCCGGCAAAAGGTGTTATGATGTTACGAGAGGAACTTTGGTTGGGAATCGTTCTGAATGGCGTGGTCTAGTCTAGTCTGGTCTAGCAACTTGTTGTCTGCATTGCCATCGTCGTCTCCGATGACTGCAATACTGTTACTGTTATTCTTGTTTACCCTGTCATTACCTGCCGCGCATGGATATTGTCGTAGCAGGTGTTTTGATGTATTACTACTGTACAGAAAGAAATACAAATGCCGAAATACATAGCTTCTCATTCTTTGCTTGAATAAACAATTGTGGTCTCGGAGTAGGTCGTCGTGTTGTCCACGTGTTACATTCACTTCGTGAATAACTTGCCGGCCTTTGGTCTGGTCCTAGGCCACCTTCTTTCCCACCATACTTCGGGACACACACATCCAATCGTCCATTGACGCATAGTGATCGGCTTACATACACCAAACTATCTCCGGGCTCCTACCCAGGAAACACGGCTGGGAAATTCATGCAGCCACACTGTCACAGCTTCGGCAACGGTACCGAACGACGCTTTGGCCTCCTATATCAACGGTTGATAAGGCTACATCACAGACGTCAAACTGAATGGTGGGTGATCTGGGGTAAATGCGAGTGACGACCATCCTTTGCATAATATATTGGAAAAGGAAAATTGGGTTGTTTTTGGTGGTGGGGTTGAGTGGGTTGTGAGTTTATCTTTCACTTTCTCTTATTTCCCCCCTCTGATCCCTTCCGTGTTCTCACCAAAGCAATGATCACAGAGAATTATACTGACCATACGACGTCCTGACATATGATAAGAGTCTGCCTGATATCCACCATCCGCCTCTGGGACCTCGTTCGCCGAAGCTTCTCGACCAGACTTCACCTTCGACAACGTCAGCATCGCCTACTTCATTTGCTCAGAGGCCAACGGCGCTATTGTCGTCGCTTGCTGTATGACTCTAAAGCCTTTCTTTGACCGAATTTCTGCTTGTTGGTCTCTCGGCCGCCCGAGGAAACTGTGGTGGCGCGTACCGACGGTTGATGAATTCGGACAGCGGCGGCAAGAGTGAGGTGGTGGATTCAGATGTTGAGGCACAACACAGCAAGCAGCCAACGACGATCACCGAAGAAAGTGAAAGATATTGTTGCTAGATAGAGTAGGGGAAGGTCCTCCTACTATCGGGTGGAAACCATCGAGGCCGATGGTCATGGTGAGAGATCAAACAAAAGAGGAAGGGCTCATGGAGCTGGTTATATACGTCTTCCAGCCAAAGCCGGTCGGACGAAGCGGACATGATGGAGGTATAGAGCAACTTTCAGAGAAAAATAATGCAATAAATTTCGATGTCATGGAGCGTGACGTCGCTCCGCTGGACTTGAGTCGGGCATTATCGATTTCGAGCACTGGCAGCGAGGCGTCGTGGAAATCGGAGGAGACAATAAACACGAAGCCTGTTGCTGTTTGTTTGAATATCTGAGACTCAGCTGAGATACTTCCTTCCATCATAGTCATGTAATCTTGCAGTAATTAATCAACTTTCAAAACCACTCACGAAGCGAAGTTGTCGAGAAGTAAGCAAGTAAATAGGTAGAGATGAATGGCGGCGCAGAGGAAGATCATCAACCTACATACAGGTAGGTACCTGGCGTTTCAGTTGGAAAGAAAAACCGTAACCTCAAAACAAAAGAAAGAAGGGCCCAATAATCAAAAAGCAAAAGAAGAAGGAGAGAAGGAAGGTACGGAAAGCACCAAAAAGATTGCGGTTTGTGTGGATCGAACACACGACCTTCAGATTTATGAGTGAAGTGGACTTCAGTCTGACGCTCTCCCAACTGAGCTAAACCCGCTGATTGGTTATCCCTTGGCAAACGACTTTTTATCTACTGACTGACTATTTTGCAGTCCGTTCCGCGCATTGTTTTTACCACTAAGAGTCGAAGAACATGTCATAACCACAAAAGCCAAGTGCTCAACTTTGGAGGAGAGATTTTCATTGCAGAATCGAGTGCTATCAGACTTTTTCCTGTCTTGATAACACGCTTTTGTCTTGTAAACCTAGTCTACCTTTAGCCATCTACCCTCCCCTGATGCTTTTCTCTATCCCATGCAAGGAAGGTTATGTGAAATGTGCAGAGGGTCATAACTGTAGCACTTGCTGTCCGCTTTGCCATACACCAGGTGTCCATGCACTTGCACTCATCCGTTTATTGCCTCAGGTAGTCAACTCCAAACTGAAAACCCACCGAGGGTAACCAGAACCGAGGAAGAGTGCGGAAGAGAATGGTGGGCAGAATATGTGAGAGTAGAAAGAACCGAAGAGATCGAAAATCTACGTCTAGACACAGACCCGTTTCCTTCTTCATCTTTTTAAGTGACTTGAGAAAACGAAGAGGAAAAAGCAGTCCCTGATATGACCAAGGGAAGGGAGTCAGAGAAAGCGAGTAAAAGAGCTGTAAGCATTTCGCTGAAAAATTGACTCATGTGCAACATACGAGCATATACAGAAATCCGACAAAAAAGACTGAAAAGAAAACATTCCCGCCACCCCAGATCGCATTTTTCTCCCAATAACGCCTCATGTTTTTGTGTTCTCGTACTCCATGCTCGCTGAACCGATATCATGAAGTTCCTTTTTGCCACCACCAGTCGCCGTCTTGTCTAACAGTGCACCGAAACCCCGTCTGATCTTGTGCCCGAATCCAATATCGTTCTAAGATCATGTCGAAACTAAGAATGAAGGATATCATGAAGGGGAGGGAAATGGTAACCGTGATGGTGTACTTGCACAAGCTCAGGCGGCGTAGTATGCACTTGCGTAACTTCGGTGGAGCTTGCGCAACTAGCCCTGCCACAGGCGTTCGATGAGTATCAAGGGGCTTATTTGATCGAGACCAAATAAGGTGTAATGGAAAAGAGGCCGGTAACGAATAGCCGTGCGGTCACCTCGTTGTCAAGCAGTTGCCAGCTGCATTTACCGACAATCTGCTGCGTTTCCACACTTATACCCCCCATACCAGCTTCGATAGCCGTTGGGTCCTGACGCTTCGTAAGTGCCACCTTACGCGGTCTTGGGAGGGTTTTGCATCCACGTGGGCAAAGCCTTCCAACCAGCCGCAGTAGCATCAAGCTTAACGCGACCGAAATGCTCATCAAGATCCAGGAGGATCTTAAGAGCGTTACGGGACCTCGTGTAGGGGCTATCACCACCCACGCGGTCCTGAACCAAGGAAACAGCGTCAGCAACACCCGCGTGCATCTTCTCCGCCTTCTGTCCAGGATACGGCAGAACACCCTGGAGAAGCTCGTAAGCGGCAAGGGTGAAACCGAATTGTGGCGAGGAGCGGAAAATACGGGCAGGACCGCCCTTGAAGAAGGCCTTGAAGCCTTCCTCCTTCCAGATGGTCTTAGCGGCGTGCCTAAGACCGGTATATTGCGTATCGCCCTTACGGGCCTCGACTTGCAGACGAGTCTTGATGACGTCGCAGGGTGTCGTAAGGTAAGCAGCGGGCATACCGGCAATGGCACCGGCCGTGAGAAGCTGGAGAACACCCAGCTTCTTGGTCTGTGACTCGCCAAAGAGATCCTTCTTCAAGTGCGAGTAGGTCGGGAAGTAAATTGCCGAGAACGGAACGTCGCGGAGCAAGCATGCAGAGGCGCCCTTGTACAGTCCGACCAGGCCCAAGTTACGGACGATCCACATGGCAGAGCGCTTGGGAGCGCCCTCGACACTCTTAGCAACTTCACCCTGGACCTGCAGTCTGATCTTGACGATTTCCAGGGGATTTGTGAAGACCTATTGCACAAGCAAACAATTAGCATTCTCAACAACAAGAGCAACGCACACAAAGAGAATTCGAGGACTTACAACTTGACAACCACCAGCAGTACCACCAGCAATGATCTCGTGGATCAACGAGATGTTGCCCTGCTTATCAGTAAAGGCGCCACGAACGAGATCGTTGACGGTAAGCTTGATGGCCTTCTCAGGGGCGACACCAACAAGCTGGGGTAGAACACCCGCGTAGAGACCCCTGAAACCCTCGTTACGAATGATTTTTCTGAAGCAGTCGATGGAGTTGTCATAGAGTCTGCTACCGGGCGAAGCACCTCTCTGGTTCTGCATTCTTGTCTTGACCAGATCAATGGGGTAGACCATAAATGCACCGAAGGCGCCTGACAAACTGCCGAGGATGAAGTTGTAAGCTGACTCGCCCGCCCGGTGGGCAAACTGCTGGCCCTTTGTCTGCACAGCCGGGGGCAGAAGTCTGGCCTCGGCCTCATGACGGTTCCTCCATGTAGGGTCAAGAACCTTTGCAAAATCCTCAAGACCAAGTCTGCCTGAGGGGTTTCCAACACTCGCGAAATGGAACAGGATATCGGCCTCCATAGGTGTGAAAAGGGAGAAACGGGTGATCTTGGCCGCCTGGTTAAGGAACTCAGTGCGGGTGATCTTTCCATCCTGACTCTTGTCGCAAGCCTTGCGAATGATGAGCTCGACCAAATCCATTTCCTTAATCATGTTTTGGAAGGCCCTAACGTTCGCATAGGAGACCTTGCTGCCCTGAGAGATGTTGCATAGAGTGTTGAGGTTCTCGAGGAGGTGATCAGACAGCTTGTGCTTCGAGGTCTCCATAATTATGCGCTCGAAGTCCTCGGGTTCAATGAAGCCGTCGCCATCCTTGTCGAAGAGCTGGAATGCCTGGCGGATGCGCTCGCCCTGTAGACCACGGAGCATTTGGGAAAATTGTTGGTAGTCCAAGTTGTGTCTCTTGGTCTTGCTTCCAATGTAGAGTTTGGCCCATTCGCAGTCCCAATCAAATGGGAT